TTGAATGAACTGCAAAAGATATGGCACCATAGAAATGCTGGCTGTCCCACAGCCTTTGAAAAGAGAAAGATTCAAAATGCCATTGAGACGTTGTAATCCACATTTTCTCCAAAGTTGGCCATGACCATATTGGTGCTGCAAAGAACATTGTTCTCAAACTCTGCCAGGATGGGTGTTCTCCATGCACAAAACAGGCATTGACTTTTCTTTCCATGAGAACTGGATAATTTTTTAGCACTTCTAAAAGCCGACCTGCAAACTCATCCAAATAAGTCCGCTCTAGCAATTGAAATATGAAGGCATGACAGATATCATTCTGGGAAAGCAGCGGGACCACAGCCTGCAAGAACTTGTCCCCATAGTCATCGTCCACTGCCAGGAGCCCAATCCATGTCCATCCAAAATGCTGAAGTAAGTGCACAACCCCCAGATACTGATGAGATTCCTTAGGCACCATCTGGTACAGAAATGGGAATTCTGTCTTGTCACCATGTGCTGGGGAAAAGGACCCATAAGTGAGCAGAAATCAAATGCATCAAAGGACACAGATGGATTAGGAGATAATGTCAACTTCTGTCCTGTGGAATTTCCATGATTCATGGAATGAGCCTACCTGTGGGATCTTGTACATGGCAGTGATGATGGCCATAATTTCAGAAGCTTCAGTTTTAAGTCCTCCAATGACAGCAGCTATTTTTTTCTGAGCACCACACCGAGTTCCCCATCACCTGGAAGGAAGGAACACTCAGCATGATCTCCGTTCCAATGCCTGACTCACAGGTGTGCCATGTGACACTCCCCTCAAATACTCCAAATGTCCCCACCCTTCCATGCATGTGAAGCTCTGAGGGTAGCCTTGCCCTGGGTCTTCATAAAGGGCTTGTGGTCCATGAAAAATGACTGTGAATTCGCAGGCAAAGGCATAGATTGTTCTTTCAGAGATATATTAAAATGCTGCAGCAAATTCCCTCTCATGAGCCAGGCTTCTTAACATGAATGACAAGAATGTCAAACTCTCACTCACAGGCAGGGGCATACTGCACAACTAGTGCATGGGCAGGTGGTATTGTTTTTTGATAACAGAAGCTATAAACATTGTAGTACTTCCAAAAACATTGTGGTATGTTCCAAAAACCAAACTCAGCTTGGTTTTTAGAAATCATGAACACAAATAGCTGTCTGTTCTTTTGATTGTTTTCACCACCAATATGGAAAACACAGTTTTTAAGTTAATATCTGTTTTGGGTTCTGGTTGTTTAACTTGTTTTGCTTGCATTCTTGCATAACCTTTTGGTTACTGTTGCGTTGTTTCCATATCTACCTTTCGTAAGCCATCCCAGGAGCAATATGCTGGGCGAACGGTATATAAATGTCATAACATAACAATAATTTATAATAAAGAATAAATATGAATGCAGTTCAAAATGGAACTGCAGCCAGTGATGAGAGCCATTTGGTCAGTGGCCACTTTTGACAAGCTGACAACCTACCAGCCAGACAGTGTCCCTGAAAGCTGTAGCTATGTGGCACTGTCAGAGGTGTCCTCTCTTGGCCCACCTTCTGCCCCATTGATCATCTCTGGGGCAGAAGTGGGCGACCAGATGGTGAGTGAGAGGTGGAGGCTCAGTAGGCAAAAAAAGTGGGAATAAGTCAGGCATTGGCACCCAGGCAGGGATCGCACACTGCAAGAGATGTCCTCTCTGACCCCACCTCCACTCACCAGAGGTCCCATCGCATGCTTGAACAGGAGGGCTTGGAAGCAGCATCTGGCAGCATGTGGTTGGTCCCCCCACCACCACCCTTTTCTGCTCCTGCAGCAACATGGAGGTATAAGAGGAGGGCAAGTGCAGTTTCCTCACTTCTCAGACCCACTTGCCAGAATGGCGCCTGGGTGGATGTCGGGTGGGCGCCGGGTGGGCGACAGCTCTCTGGTGAGAAGAAAGAGGGATCAGCAGAGAATCAGCACTGCTTCCCACCGGAAGCAGATGCTCAGCTGTTCCTTACCCCTTTCTGCATGCAAGGAGCTTCCATTTGACCTGTGTGGATGGCACAGCTGATTTCTGCCCCTGTGGCAAGGGGCTCTTGTGGTGCATGTGGTGGGCCAGAGAGGTTAATCCTTCCCACAGCAGCACCTGGCTGATTCTCACATGTCCCACTCACTCCGATTTGGAGGGACTTTGCTCCTGTGCATGCAGAGGAGAATCCATTGAGGCAGGGAGGCCCTTACATGGTGCCACTGCTCTGTGACTGTTGACCTCTCCTCCTTCCAGACAGGAGGGGCTTCCTCCAGGTTGCTGCAGAGGGGGATGCAGCTCCTTTCTGCAGCACTGCCCAGAGGATTTCATCCTCTTGGCCAGCACACAGATGAAGAACATGCTGCACCTGCCCCTGGCTGCTTTGTCCTCTGAAGTTCCAAATCCTGTGCAATCTGCTGAGATTCTAGACTGCTTTGAGATGGAGTTATCGGTCATGGCTGCATCTCCCAAAATCACAGCCCTCCTCCTTCAACTAACATTTATCAAATGCGGTTGAGGCCAGAGGTTTAAAGGAATTTTTCCACCACCCCAAACTTATAGCACATGATTTCTTCCACCTCCTATGCTCTGAATTAGACATGCAAGTCATGCAATTGTTCACAAAGCGCACACAGTTTTAAACGCCTGTCTTTCTCCCTTATATGTTCCAAGGTGGTCATCTACAAGGTGTCCAAGTAATGTTTCACAGCATAGAAAGTGTAAATGAGTGAAAAACTCAGAGAATGGTGAAAAACCCAATTAGTTATCAATGGAGATGCACCAGAGTTCTAAAGATTTTCTCCCACTAAAACATAATGCAGTATGGAAGTGGAAATTCCAGACAGAATGAAAAAATGTTCTGTTCCATTGAAGACAGAATAATTGACATAAGTACACATTTTCTGAGTCATTTGAATTGTTCTAGACTTACTACAGGAACCTTAGCACAAAACTTTTCAGCAGTATAATTAGAGTCTGCTTTCAGCTGAGATGCCCAATGAAATGTGTATTAGAATAGACTAGGGTATTGTCTCAGGCTTACCTATTTTGCTTTCCCATCCTTATCAGAAGTCTCTTCTCATTTAGTGCAGGCCTCATTAAAATGATGAAGCATTTGGGGGGTAAAATGGGAACAAATAAGCCAGCACTGGAGGTTAAGATTGAGAAGATCTCCACAGTCACCAGGTATTTTCCTTTGGTGCTCAGGTAGGTTGGGACAAAGGAGAACCACACACTGCAGAAGATCACCATGCAGAACGTGATGAATTTGGCTTCATTGAAAGTGTCCGGCAATTTCCTGGCTAGGAAAGCCACAGTAAAGTTGGCAATGGCCAGCAAGCCCATGTAGCCCAAGACACAGTAAAACATCACAGCTGAGACCTCATTGCATTCCAGGATGATTTGGTTCTTTGCTGAGTGCCGATTCATATCTGGGAAAGGAGGAGAAGTACTTAGCCAAAGTGTGCAAATGACTGCCTGTACAGAAGAGCCAGAGAGCACAAGAGAAATTGCTATTCTTTTCCCCACCCATTTCGTCATTCTGGATCCAGGTTTGGTGGCCATGAATGCCACAACCACAGTTGTGGTTTTTGCCAACAAAGCGGAAAGGGCCACCGAGAAGATGGTGCCGAAGGCAATTTGTTGGATGCGGCAGGCAAGCTTTTCAGGCTTTCAATGCAGAGCAAGGAGGAGAGGAAGCAAAGCAGGAGGGAGATGAGGAGGATGTAGGTAAGGCCCTGGTTGTTGGCTTTGACAATGGGTGTGTCCTTGTTCTTCAGAAAAATCCCCAGGACTGAAGTTGTCATCAAAGAGAAAGAAACAGCCCATATAGTAAAGATGATTCCTAAAGGTTCTTTGTAAGAGAAGAAGCTCAAAGTATGGGGGAGGCATTCAGTTTGGTTCTTGTTGGGATAGTGATCTTTGGGGCATTCCATGCAGGCATCCATATCTGAAAGGAGAAGATGGAGCAAGAGGAACAGGGGGGTGGGGTAGAAGAGTGAGCAGGGAGGAGAATGGTTATAGTTCTACTCTTGCAAGAGTTCCAACAGTGTGCTGTGGAAAGGTATCCATTATTACTGAAGAACCACCCAGTCAAATATCTTCTCAAGTACTCACTTTCCCTCCTTGGGAAAGTAGCAGTGACAAACAAAGATAATACCAAGTCAAGCTAAACTAAAACCAAATTCATTGCCTCGGAGTTTAATACTTTATTTCATTTAAAGTAAAATGCCCACAATTGATTCCCACATGGTAGAGCATTTGTGCACTTGGTATACAAATCAAAATGTGTTTTTGATTGTAATAGGTTGGTGTGCACGATCATAGCAGCAATGAATCAGGAAGCACATGATTCAGATCTCATCTTGTGAAATGTTGCCTTGGTTTGAAACCTAACAGATACTGGAAGACAGAAAGGAGAGAAAATTGCAAAGAGCTTTCAAACCTTTCCTTGGCCCTAATTACTGGGGATAAGGGGATATTTTCATCAGACGACAGCAGTGGTGAGAAGAACGGGTCAAACCAGACACCTCTGCTGGATCAGCTCACTTCCTTCTGGTTCTGCAGTTCTCTTTGCTGAGCAGATAACATCAATTCTGCATAGCTACAATTTAAGTATAGCATGTTATAGGTATATGTCGTTCTGGGAGAGTTAATCCACCAATCCTCAGTTAGTGCTTCCATCTCATCAACAATTACTTTTGAAATACATTGGTGGCAGTTTTCACTGATCTATCTGAGGACAGCAATTTCATGTACTGCAAATTAGATTCAATTTAGAAAGTGGCTGTCCTGTGCTTCAGAATCTCATTAGCCAGGTGAGGGTGTTCAAGGATAGGCTAGACATGCACAAGGTAGGCA